TCTCTCTCTCTCTCTCTCTCTCTCTCTCTCTCTCTCTCTCTCTCTCTCTCTCTCGGTTCGCTTCGACATATTCGTCGCTCTGCTTGTCTCGTGTCATCCCTGGGAAGGCTGCAGTCGTGCATTAGCTGCTGGTACTGAAGACGAGCATTGGCGGGGAGAAGGTGAGGCTCTAACGGGGCGTCTCCATCTCAGGAGTCCTATCCCTCCCTTTCCCTTATCTCCCTTCTCTCTCTCCCCTCTCTTCTTCTCTCCTACTAAGCCTCTATGCCCTCTCTCCTCCTCCTGTTCTTTCTCCTTCCTTCTAGCTGTCGTCCTCTCCCTCCTCCTCCCTCCTCCTCCCTCCTCCTCTATCCCCTCCCTCTCTTTTGTTCGGGCATTTGTTAAAATTTGAACTCTGTCTTGATCTTTTCATCGTTACAAGTTTTATGTGTGTGTGGTAATCAGTCACAGAGCTGCATAGTACATATGCCTTTTCCTCCCTCCTCCCTCCTCCCTCCTCCCGCCTCCACCCGTTCTCCCCTCTCTTTCCTCTCTTTCCTCTCTTTCTTGAAGTTTGTCCTGGTCGCGAGGCTCTCCTCTCTCTCGCTCTCTGCTCATCCTCCCTCCCTCCCTCTCCGCCGTCGCTTTTCCCCCCAACGCGTGTCACATCTGGCCAGTCCATCAAATCTCAGAACAGCGGAGCTTGAAACACGTGTTATTTTTTTTTTTGCTTTCACAATTGGCCAGGATATGACGCGTTTGCACGAAACACGTGTTTCAGCGGAGGCCGAAACACGTGTATTTCACTTCAATGGGCTCGAACGCCTGTCGTTTTTCTCTATGGAATCCAGAGCAATTACTGATCTTGCGAGTCTGTAGCCGACGTTCAGCTAATCGATCTCTCTGGTGATCCGTGGTCCGCTGGTCGGCAAATCACGGGTGTCCACGTGGCACGCCGCCTGGCCTGCCTCTCAGTTACCCCGTTGTTGTTCTTGCTGTTGTTGTCGGTTCTTTTTTTATTTTTTATTTTTGTTGTTGTTGTTGTTGTCGTTTTCTGCTTGAAGAGGGAACACTTGGTAGGTGGTCGCAATTATTTTGCTTTAAATTTTCGATTAAGGGGGGGGGGGGGGGGGGGTTGTTGTGTAGGGGGGGGTCACTAATCAGATGATAAATAAATATTTCTTTTGGAGTTTGGAGAAGTGTTCAAATTCGGAATCTCCCTTCGAGACAGCTTTATGGATCCGCACATCCGTCTTCCCCCGAACATAACGCATATGCCTTGTATTCGAGTTTTAATTTTAAAAAAACGCGAAAATTCGAATAGAACGCAACTGCGTTGTATTATTGGAAAATCAGGGCTGTTCGAATAGAACGCACATACCACATACCTTGTATTCGAATAGAACGCACATACCTATTGTTGTATTCGTTTAATACCACATACCTTGTATTCGAATAGAACGCACATACCTATTGTTGTATTCGTTTACAACGCACATGCGTTATGTTCGGGGAACGACGGGTAGGCATAAGACCACCTCCGTGCAAGCACAACCATCAGGAGGAGAATCGTAGAATTGACCATAACAGTGACATGGTTTTCTTCTTCTTCTTCTTCTTCTTTTCTTTTTTTCTTTTTTTGGGGGGGGG